CTCCCGGAAAACACACTGGCACCGCAGAGATGTTTTATCTTTGTTATCGTTGAGACGTGAGATAGCGACGCTCTTGAGCAGCCATTGATAAGGACCCTCTGACTTGCATGCGCTCACAAAGTGTATTACGTGGCATGGGCGGAAGAGCGCGCGCTAATGCAAGAGTTATTAACCTGCTTGTCACGACACACTAAGCGAGTGCTGGAAGATGAGAACGAAAACCGGGGCTATAAGTCTGATTTCCTTTCTTATTTTTAAAATGTATTGCCATTATTTTTATTTATTGATTTAATGTCAAAAACTATTAAAATACGTTACATAGTATGGTGGCAGTGGCTTTATTTTTATTTCGGTTAACTTACCATAATAAACGTATAGTGACTCGGGGGTCTTGAAAACTTTCAATTGATCTCTGTCGTAGAACCTCCAGGATTACGAAGCTTCCAAACCCTTAACTTCATAAGCTGACGCTCCCAGAATTATCTCTGTATACAAATAACTCAGTATCTTATAAAGTATGGTTATATCTCGTTGTAATTGTTTTCTACTATTAAATTGCATTACAACATAAACGTGTAGTACTTTTTTAAACAATGGATTCTTTTAATTAATAATAAAATGTAATATCATACATACGAATGCACAACATGACTTTAGGTTCATAACACTTTTGGTTGAAAAAACTGCTTCAAATAAACATGAAAAATTCCCGCTTGGGTTGATGTAATGAAGTATGCATGGGAGGAAAATGAAAGTCAGAATGCTACTTTTCATGAAGTATGAATTTATAATACCACGCGTGCTTATAGGATAATGTATTCTTCTTGAAAACGATTTTCTTGGTAATAACTCCGTCGCTTAGCGAAATGACCTAATTAGACAAGCAACAAAATACGGCATATACAAAAAGAGAATAACAGAATACCGATAGTTATTGTATAGTACACATTTTATAATAATTTTAAACTATGATATTAATTAGAACACGTCACAACCCTGTGAAGATTGACTGGAAATATGTTTATGGTAATCTGTTGCAAATTTTACTACCAATTTAATTAATGTAATAATATATTTATATGTGCCCAAAAAATACGTAGAATTAATCCAAAAATTACTAAAGATATCTCTTAGCTCCAAATAAAGTGTCACTTATTGGATACATGACATCGAAAGAACGTTGTAACGGTCACAAAATTCAAATAATTACAAGGTGAATGTGACAATACAAAAAATAAAATCATATAATTCAATTTAATTTATTTAATTACGCTCCCAGCATAACGTATTACATATGACGACTTTATAATGCCATATTTATTGAGAGAGAGAAAAATCATTTATTTCTTCTGATTAATCAGAGGAACGAGCACAAAATGATGCGTAAAATATTCGTAATATTCATTCAACAGATCATTAATGAGCGTTGTAAAATATAGTCTAAGGTCTGAGTAGCTTTTTGAAACATTGTATTATCGTATATTGATGAATTAAAGAATGAGTTTCTAATTAAACAAATAGAAATTACGAAACATAAATTATGTGTCCTAGTTTCCACCTTCGAGTGCGGAAAGGTAACTACAGCAAACGTTAATGAGGCGCTGGCGAGGAACGAGAAAAATACACAATTTACACTATTCAGATTGAACGTTGGCGGAAATTCATCGCATATCTGTGTGTACTAACAACTACTCAATCCATAACTCGCGAGCGATGTGCAGAAAACTAATGTACACTGGGAACTCAATCATGAAACACATTCCCCGACCTGTTAATGCCACGAGTATTACGGAGCGCGCACATCGCATCATTGCAATCATTATCGCGTGTTTCTCAGCGGCTGGATTTCATCTTCATCGCACGCAGCCGCCACAAGTACAGCCATTATTCTCGCCATCCACATCCCAGCCTCTTCTTCCACGTTTAGCCATCATTGGTACGTTTGTCTCTGCCGCTCGGCGTCCGCCTGCCGGCTTCTCAGTTACCTTCAGTATTCCTAATCGGAGAGGTGGTTCAGAGCATCAACTGATGTCACTTCAGTGCCTCTGACTGGGACCTAGGTTCGAGTCCCAGCGGTGGCAGACTCTAGCTTGTCAGCTGGGTCGAATGCAGTCGCGTTGTGGTGGAGAATTCTAGTGGCCGACTACTATTATAGGTAGTTTTCTGTGGTTTCTCCGATCAGCATTGGTGAATGCTGGAGTAGTACCTTAAAAAACGGGCCACGGAGCGCGTGCGATCTTTCCTTCGTATTCTTTGTCCTATCCTCTCCCTTTACTAACACACACACACACACACACACACACTAACATGTACACACTCATGCCGGGAGACGAGTCTGGAGCTTGTCCCGGCTGGGGCTGTGGAAGATACCTGGTTGAGGAAAACCCTGCAAGCCGACGGTAGGTCTGTGCCGGACTCGCCTTTTCGCCATCCAGCGGGGGGAGATCACCACCAACTCCCGAAAACATGCACCACACTTACGGCATTAATGTCCTTAGCCGCTGACGCGCCTGGAATCTCTAACAATCAATCAATCCCCAGTGTTCCTGTCATTCCGATAACCTGTCTGCAACAGAAGCCTCGAAATCATTGCAGCTCCTGCCGCTTCTGCTACCCTTTCCGTCCACGCCCTGGTATCCCGCCCCGTTCTCCACAGCCACCTCTGCCCCCTAGCCCTCGCTGCCTCCCCCACCTTCTCTGTCAGCCTGCCGCGTCTCGGGGCCTCGCTGTCCCAATTTTTGCCCTCGTCCCCACTTCTTCAGACCTCAGCCGCCTCTTTCCCATCGTGCCGATCCCTTAGTCACCGCCACCTCCATATCCGACCTATTCGCCCTACCACTGTTGCCGCTGCCGCAGCTGCTACTGTTATTCCTATCGAAGCTGTCTCAACTCCTTATCATCCACCTGCGTCGCTTCCCACTCTATCCGCAGTTCCGTCATTCCCTCCATCCTCATTATCCAACAAGCACTTTCACTGCCTTCCAATACCAATGCCACCACCAACAACTTACATCCCGCCACAGCTTTTCCCAAGATCGTCACCAGTGCCGTTGCCCCGATCACCAACTCCACAACCCCCACCCCCGCCCGCGCTGCCCATTTACCCGCCTACGAACCGCATAACCGCGCCGGGTACCGCTGATTTATGCGCTACCGCAGAGGTAGTTGAGGGGGGGAGGCGTCGCGCGTACGTAAAGCACGGAGAAGGGGGCGTGCCCGGATGGTGGGGGGGGTGCACGAGGGCACGGAGTAGCGCCCCGCGGTGCCGGGAAGACTTCCGGCGAAGAGCTCTGGCCGCCCGCGAATACTTGCCCGACAGCCCCTTTATCTCCTGCCAGTCCACACCGCGCGCGGCGCCCGCCGTCCGCCCGCTGGAAATAGGCCGGCGCCGCGCCGTGCCTGCGCACGCGCCCGAGCGAGCGTGTGTGTGCGTGCGTGCGAGCGCGTCGAAGAGCAACCTAGCTTGTCAGCTGGGCCGGAGTCAGTCGCTGTCTGGAGGAACATTATACAGGCCGGCTGCTCTGATCGGTAGTTTTCCGTGGTTTCTCCGATCATCACTAGGAGAATGCCGGAGCAGTACCTTAACAAACGGGCCACGGACCGCTCGCGATCACACCTTCCTCTTCCTTGTCCTAACCTTAGCCTTACACGCACATACTTACACTAATAGGCACTACACTACCACACATGCTGGGAAACCGATCGGGATCTTAGAGCTTGTCCTGGCTGGGTGCCCCGCTGGTAGGAGATACCTGGTAGAGGAAACCTCGTTTGCCGACGGTCGGTCGCAGCCGGATCTCGCCGCCAGCTGGGGAAGAGTCCCCTCCCCACAAAACACATTCACTACACTTATGGGACGAATGACCTTATCCGCTGACGCGCCCGGGATCACTGACAATCAATCATTGGAAGAGCGCGGGCGCGAGCGGCCGGGCGTGTGCTGGAGCCGGCGAAAGCGCGCGTGTCAGACCGGTGGCGGTGCCGGCGGGGCGAGGCGACGCGCGGGCGTTATGTAACAGGCACGACCTTGCCACCCAATGGCCGCGCAGCGACGTCAGTGCTCTTTTCTGCGCGCTGGTGAAGCAGCACGAGTGATGGGAGAGGCAGTCGGTGACGGTCTTGATCGTGGCAAGTGAATGTTGACGCGGTGGGTTGGTGGTAATGGCAGATGAAACATCCGAATGTTTTGCGTGTTTTCGTCAATAATTCGTGTTTGCGTGTTCATAAATGTGAAGATTAGTTGTGCGCTCAAGAGGAGAACTCGTCAAGCTTCATCTCCGCCCTTCTCCCTTGGAATGGGATGCCTTATATTTTGAAATATATTTTTTTAAATTTTCTGTTGTAATGTAAGTCATTCAAAATCTAAATAAATATGTGTCGATATAATTAATTTCAAATTCAGCATAATTGATTTTTTAAGAAAACATCAAAACAATGCACTGGAAAATATACATATAACTTCCAAACTCGCTCAAAAATTCTAGATGTCTTTGGTTATGATGATGATTGCCAAAATTCGAAATTTAATGATTATTTAACTTTATTTTTTGGTGGAGTCTGCACGAAGTCTTGAACCTTGTTTGCCTCTGTACCTAGACTAACAATAACAATCGTGGTTTGACATTGCCTTCCACTAAATGGATTGCAGTTGCTGAGACAAGAATGGAGAATTTCGATCAGAGATGGATGATATAAATAAATAATGGTTCATATCCGATACATGGTTTCATGAGAAGTCAACTACCGGACTGTCGCAAGGAAAACATACCGATAATTCTACTGGATTCAAACAGACGTACATCGTGAGCTAAAACCACGATTTCTGCCGTTTCTATTCAGGCTAGTTCGTTCTATCAAATTAATTAAGGAAAATAGTGAGGAAGTTGTTGTAACTTTTCCGTATGCGTCACAGGTTCACTTTCATTATGACCGGTAATTTCCAAACTGTGAAAGAATATCGGCAAATTAGCGACTTATTTCCTACGGGTAATTGATAAGTGTGACGTGATATTCGTATCAACTGTATAACTACTGAACATGTGACATTTGGAGAAAGGAATTTAACTCTGTTTACAGTCCAGGAAAAAGAGATCTTAAAATACATTTTTTTCTATAACTACGGAATAATATACTACAACAACGGAAATGGCAGCATTTCAAGAAACAGAGAAACACAGTTTGAAGAAAACACAAACTTGCTGGCTAATCTTCCCGATAAAGTTGTCTTCCGTATTTAGTTGCGTATTTACCTCTTATTATTTATTATAAGGATAAATTAATTATTTACTGATATCTATTCCTCCAATGAATATACCACTTATTATTTATTATAAGGATAAATTAATTATTCACAGGTAAATATCCCTCCAATGAATATACCAAGTATCATAGAGATACGCTAGGTAAACTGAACCATCGTCTCGTATTTTGTTCATCCCTACGCTAGAGGTCGTGACCTCATACTTGAATCCTCTTTCATGACATCAGTTGTTAACTCTTTTAATACATTTCTCATATAACGTCTTTGTGCATCTTCTCTCCTCTTATCTTCATTTTGCTTTCTTTCTTCCTCTATTTCAGAGCACAAATCATCGGAATACATTCATAAAATCTTTTCTGTAGGACCCGCACCTTCATACATCTCGATACAGTTTTGATAATACTGATACAAACAGACAGGTCAACTTAAGGACGTGGTTTTATAACTCTAAACCTTAACTGTGAGATTAGGGTAACAAATATTTCAATCTAATTATTTTAATGTTAATGTCTGCTAATTTAGGATGATGCTCTTTGTTCTTTTGAACCAAGACACTCTATAAAGCACACTCAACTCAATTATCAGAGCTAACTCTTCGAAATATTTTGCATTGCGAATTAATATCAACTTTTACTCAAAGCGAAGATTCCTAATCTTAAATTTTATATGTCAGGATTGTGCTATTGGGGATATACACACTTCCTTACATTCTTAACAAAAAAAGGTTCTGGTAGTATTCCCACCATCTATTGCATTTTGTGACGTAACGAAACAAATTATACCCTACTTACAAATTATACAGACGTTTCTAAGAGCAGAAACGTAAATGTGGATTCATTATCAGCATATATTGCACTAGTAGTCAAACATTTTAGCACAAACATGTAGAACAAAAAGATCAACTTCGTCAACGGATCGCTCAAAGAGCAAAAACCTCACCTGACTGATCTGTTCCGGACGATCTTCTATTATCCGCTAGAAGTTATGAGTTGCACGACCGCTTGGTGTCCACCGAAGTCGTTTCTTCCGCGAATGCTTCATGGAAATGCCTGCTGAAGCGTTCGAAATATTCGCTGGCGAATCTTTTCGGCGCTGCCAGTCGAGACGGCGGACGTTTGTTGCTGAGCTCACGCCTGCTGCGCGGTAACGATGACTCAGCGTGGGCACGTGGAGGTTTATCGTCGCAGCGACAGCGGAGGCTTCATTAGATTACTCTCGAACGCTAAACTAACTAGTGGCGTATCTCCTGCAGCTGTCACCAATGGTGGTTAGTGAACAAAGTGGGTGGTTTGCAAAATACGTCGGAAAGTATTTGTTTTATTACTAAAGAAGCCAAATATTCGTAAATTATTTAATCACAGAAGGAACATATATCATAATATAATGTTAAATTATGAAGCTTCAATAATGTTTTAAAAATTAAGCATTTAATATTTTAAATATTTCCTTATTATTAAATAATAACGTACAATACTTTTAATAAATAATGGGATTTTTTTGTCTTTAATAAACATTTGTAGATTTGTTATACTAAATTGATGTTGTTTACTTTAATTGAATTGAATTTCTCTGATAATATTAATTATTATAAAAATGTATTTATTATTTTGGAAACTCGGCATTACTGGATACTTGGGTGTTCGGAAGACACCGCGCTTAGGGCACAGTTGTCAACGTTCCGGCCATCATAGTGTGGTGTTCCTCAAGGCGAAATTCCGCCGTGAGAAAGCATTTCTCTTTCGCCCTGAGGAAGGTCGTAGGATGACAGACGAAACGTAGGCAACTGCGTTTCGGGCGCGACGCCTCGCGAACAGTGAAGTATCTATTGACTCCGGCCGCAGAAGCCTACGCTTTCATCGCCATTGATAGTCCGCATCATTTAGCATTATGAAATTAGTGATACGCGAGATGTAAAATAATGAATTTAGTGGTCCGCAGGATTGAAACTCATAAAGTTAGTGGTCACGAGATTAAAATCATGAAGTCTTGAAGTCACGCTCACATCTATGAGCGATTATGAGTCAAAATGAAGTTACATGAGTCCCCTCTCCTCTCCCTTTATTTTTCTACTGCAAATAAGCTACTCGCTTGACTCTTACACAGACAAAAATAGCAAAATAAAGTAGAATTGTCAAACGATGTTGTTTATGTTTATTAACATTAGTGAACAACCCAATGTATCATTTTCAATGTGTAATTAGTATCATTGTAGTAGTCTGAAAATGAGATGCAACTGATTTAGATGATTCGATTCCTGTTTAAGTTTAAGAGTTGGTATTCATTTTTCCCTCTCTTTTAAAGATTTATTTTGCTTTTTAATTACAGACGTCAACTGACTTTAGCAAAAAGAATGGAATTATTAATAATTATGTTAATACAACATTTTTGTTATGTATTTAACTTACTCGTAAACACTCAATGAAATGTTATAATTGTGGGTCATTAGAAGGTTAATTTTTTGTGCCATTGACGGTGAATATTTCACCGCAAGCTTTCCGTGTTTTATGATGAGATATAAATTCTCCGGCATATTCGATCGTCCTACTCTCTCGCACGATACTTCATAGCTCAACAACGTAGCGTTCTAGGTCCATAACGCGTAGCATTCTTCGAAGTGCCCTCTACCGACTGCGATATCTCAGCGGCAATATCGTTGCCTCTACAGCATCGGTGACCGAGAGTTTGACGGATTCGAGTTGAAATCTAACCCTTAGCTTCATATGGGGTTTGAAATAAAAACACCTTTCTCTTTTTGACTTTTATTGACTTGAATAATGTACTATTTTATTTGCCTTAGTTTTTTTTGCCATAGTGAACGATTTTTTCAGATCTAGAGGATC